GTCCTGCTCGCCCCCAGAGCACACACCTCCCGGTCAACACCCCTTGGAAAGGCTGGGCAGAAGCCAGAAGCCTTTCTTTCTGCTGCCCAAGACTGTTTATCCAGAGTTAGGCTTCCTTTTCCATGTCAGGAGAGAACCCCTGGCAGCCCTGCCTGTGTGGTTCCTCTCTCTCATACCAAGTCCATCCCGCAGCCCTGGTGGCACAGACGGACAGACTGACGTGGGGGGGGGGGGGGGGGGGGGGGGGGGGGGTTGATCCCAGCCCGGCTCCGGCTGGATCCCTGCGAGCGGCAACCGGGGAGCGGGACGGGGAGAGCCCCGAGCACAACTTTTACATGTGCCGTGCGGGAAGGGAGCCAGGGAGGAGGAGGAGGAGAAGGAGGAGGAGGAGAAGAGGGGGGGGATGAAGCTCAATTAGAGGTCTGTCCGGCTGGCCGTGGCTCCGTCTCGGCACAGCTTTCTACCTGCAGCCAATGGAGAGCGATCAGGAAGTCCTGCTCGAAAAAGCATGCAAATATTTTTGGCCTGAGGGAAACTGAGGCCCCCCCAGCTCCCCCAACCAGCCCCTGTCCCACCGAACCCCCTCCTCCCACCCCAGGACCTGCTCTCACCATTTGCCTCATCCCCCCCCGGGGTCTCAGCTCTCTGTCCCTGTTCCTACATCCCAAGACCTGACACCCCAAGACCTCACCCTTCGGCCAGCGCTGCCCCAGCCGGAGCAGACAGAGGGATCCTGCACCACCCGGAGCAGGGAAAGCCCCAGGTGAGGACAAAGCAGCTCTCGCTGGATTTTTCTGCCCCAGGCGAGCACCTGTGGCTTCCTGAAAGCCCAGCTGCCTCCTGCCACCCCCAAGCTGGTTCAGTTCATACCTGCTTCTGCTCTCACCATCTGTCCCCCTCCTGCCCCCACACCATCACCCCAAACCCTCCCCCACTTCGATGCTCTTGCACCCCCAAACCAGGGTGATGCTCCAGCCACCCTCCCCAGACCCTTCCAACCTGATGGTGCCACAGGGTTCACCCACCACCCAACACAGCTGCATCCAACCAGGAGCTGTGAGGAGTCCTCCCCACCCAGTCCCTGCAGGCCCATGAGGAGCCTTTCTGCAGCCAACCCAACACCCCAGGGCTGGGGACCAGCTCCAGGCTCCCAATATAACACTGGTGGAAAAGGACCATGTCCTCAGAGCATCTTCTGGACAGGACAAGTGCCCTAGTTCCTCGCTTTAATTAAAACTCGCCTGCTGTAAAAACAATATCAGAAGGGGGGAAAAAAAAAAAAAGCATGATGCTTTTCTCATTTATTTCCCTCCTGTCCTCTTTTCTTACAAACAAACACACAGGTTTCAGGAATATAAACCTTGCCCTAAATAGTGAATATATATTTTTTTTTCCACTAGGAAACGGACAGGTCCCCTGGCAGAACAAAGGGAAAAAAATTAGTGCAATTCCTCCGGGGGAGATGCGAATTCAGGTCCATCAGGATTAGCTGCGTTTTCAGCACAGGACAAATTTAGAAGCCTTTATCTCAGGGCAACAGAGGGGGAAAAGAAAAGATCATAAGAAAAAAAAACACACACAAAAACTTGCAGCTGTTAAAAGCAAATGAAGGTTTCACAACAGGACCGCAAAGAAAGCCCCCAAGGAATGGAAGACCCAAACTTGGTGCACTGATCAGCCGCTTTGATCAAAGGCACAAGCAGCATCTCAGCCAAGGGGCGCCACGACCTGCCCATGCCACCTCTCCCAGCCTGGCCCAAACCAGGCCCCTGGGTTCATGAGAACCCACCCATCCTTTGGGGACAAGGGAGGACGATGTTTGCAGAGCCCTGAGCACTAAAAATCATTTGAAAGCACAAAAAACCCCACACTGCGCTAAACAAACAGGTGTCTGGCCTGGTTTCTCCCACCCAGGAGAATGAGGAGCAGCAAGACGGAGCCTCTTGAAGTCTCCTTCCCACCCCATGGCCGGAGATAGCCCCCTCCCAGCACTTGGGATGGTGGACACCGTCTCCAGTCCATGCTCAGGGCTGAACATCCCAGCTCAGCTCCATCAAGGATGGGGAACCTGAAAGGTTTCAGGGCTGCACCCTGGAGATGGTGACACTACTCTGCCAGGTCTCCAAATCCTCCCTGGGTGAAGGTAGGATGGATGAAACCCTCCGCATCCTCAGCACCAGGACAGCAATGTGCAGATCCCAGGCTGTGACAGCTCTGTCCCTGTGGTGGGCACAAATAGGGACCCCCAGCATCTGCCACCCAGGGTTTGTCAGCATGGACAGGTTGCTTCTAGGAGAGGAAAAAGTGCATTTCTCATGTGTCTCATTCGCTCTCAGCTGCCTTCAACATAGCTATGACCACACTGAGCCATCACTCTGCATGTCCCGTCTCTGCACAGGGTCTCTGGGCAGCTCCCAACCCACAGGGACATTTTGTGCGTGGGCTCAGACCCAAAAATACCTTGGGAGCTGCAAACAGGCTGCAGGTGGGTGAGGAACCTCGGCCACGGGGATGCTTGTGGGCATGTGCAGCAGGGCGGCCACCTCGCCGGGCCAGCACTCGCTCCCCCAGGCCCCGGGGAGATAGAGGAGTTAAAAATAAGAGCGTTTCCTTCCTTACCCCCTGCTTTAAGCCACGTGATA